ATTTTATAATTTTGTCCAAAATGTCCGCATTAAATATTAATAGTGAGGGATTCCCATTAATAAATAGTTTCAATACACAATTAAATAGGGCGGTTTATAAAAATCAACATATATTTGTTATAAATAACCAAATTGATTAATTTTTTTAAGATCTTTAAATTAGTTATCTATCTCTTATATTAAGGACCAGAGATAGTACTACCAATATCAATTAAGCCTGATTAATTTATTATCATTTCATTTTTTGCTTAGTTGATTAAAAGAACCAAATGTTTCCTAATCAGGGACATTATTAGATATCAAAAAAATAAACAAGCGAATGAGGGACATCCTTAGCAGCAGCAAATTCAAGATCAGATTTAGCAAAAATTAATTAATGTCACAAAATAAATGCTTCTCTTTATGTTTTCTTGCCTTATTGCACTTTATGACATTGTTTTGCCTACATTTTAGGAATCAATGTTTTGTTGGTAAAAAAAAAAAAACAGAAAGAAAACTTCTTTATCGTTATATTTCCATGTCCTGGCCACTAAATAAGTCACTCACCCCGGCATATATAATTCCCGATTCCCTTTCGAAGCAAGCTCGGTGAGCTTTTTGGGCTCTGACAATAAGAATGCTAGCACCCATCTATGCTAAGGTTATACTTGAAATAGTTCTTGATTTTGAGCTTCCCTCCATCCCTATTTGTTTTGTGTTCTCTTGCAATTTCATGAAGCTTGATTGCTACTCCTTCTGTTACTCACATTTAGCCGAACCATGTTGATAAAAAAAATTGGTTAAAATTGGCTAAAAAAATAAATATGTAAATACTGTAATTTTTTTGGTCTAAAAATATCCTCATGTATGAGCGGAGAGACTATAATAAGAAAGACAATAAAAAAATTATTAGAATGAGGAGGATTGTGGAAGAGAGAGAGAGAACGTGTGTGGAAAAAGCACAGTGTACGTAGGTGAAAGAGGGAATGATTCATTGAGAGCTGCGTGATAATAAACGTATGGATATTAAAATGAGTAATTAAATGGCAGTAAAATAAAAAATTAACAATAAAAATTTGAGACATCATCCAAATGTCTTTTATAAATAGAAACAAGCCGTATGTGGTAGTTGTTTGTCGTTGAAAAAAGGTAGAGAGTAATTAATTTAATGTTTAAGCATGCATACAGGAAGATTTCTCGCCGCCAAGGCTTTGATTATTTGATCCATGTGTTGACTGATATTGTGCAGAAGCACTTCCCAAATGCGTTACTTGGAGCAAAATCCTATAACGAGGTGGGCTCTCAACAATGTTAATATCATTCATGGCCCCCCGATCTGCTTCCTTATGTCGTCATTATTATATGGGCCGCATATGTACTCAATATGCATTGTTGCTTTATATTTGAACAATAGCAACGCACATGGAAGAGGTTAATTAAATAAGATAAAATTAAAAAATAAGTATTAAATATACTACAAGTCACTTACATTTAAAGTCGAAGTAGTACATATATAAATACATATATATGTTTCTTGGAAACATTATTGCACTTTATCAGGCCTTAAAAAGATTTTTATTTTTATTTTCAGTTTCAGCTCATCCTGCCTATTAATTTTATTGTGTTTTCATTCCCTATTTGTGTGCCGGTACACTAGAATTGAGAGTAAAAAATGGAAATGAATATAAAATCAAGGCAATAGTATATATTTGGTTAGGCAAGGGGGCTTGGAATTGGCTTCCACATGAGATAACATAAAAATACACTTCTACCTATCTTTGTATCATGTTACCCTTGACTGCTGACAAGGGTGAAGAAGGTAGCTAGAAGATGGCGACTACAGGAGTGCCGCTGTGACGACAAGGGTCTGAGGTGTGCCGGCACCGGTGACTCATTCTCTCCTCCTCCATTTTCTTCATTCATCTTCCCCATCTGCTGAGCAACATCCTCCGCTTCATCGGAGTCTCTTTGCCACACCATGACACTCTTTTCTAGATCTTCAACTTCTCCACCAAATCCGTATATTTACTTCCTCGCACAGAGGCTACATTCAAAATCTGGGTGTCAGTGTGGGTGAGTCGTCTATTTCCAATGATGGTTGCCATGAAAAGTGGGGGATGCGATGGTTACCATGAAATGCTGGCAATTTCTGGCAAGTCTCATGAAAATAGGTTCTTTCTTCTTTTGTTTTTTGAGCAAGAGAATTTCAAACTGAGAAAATTGTGAGTTTTTTATATTTTGTTTAATTAAAAGGACATTTTTTTAATATAAAAATTGGGTGTCATTACCAAACAAAACACATTTTTAAACCTTATCCTTATCTCCGTATTCATATTCATTTTTATTTTCATCAAAACCACGTAACAAACGACTGTTTTCTAAAGCGTCCATGACTCATATGATACGACTTTCGAAATAAAAAATAAAACAGTTTAACCCATTAAATAATAGTGAAATACCCACCCATTATGGGTATGTTTGGATTGGCGTTGGGCAAAACTGACTTCTAACTCAACTGACTTTTGTAACTAAAGTTAGAGTAAAAGTCAGTTAGAGTATGTTTGGATAGGTGCTTTTGAAAAGTCAGTTAAAAAAGTTGAAAGTTGTTTGGATGATGAATAAAAAAGTTAGTTTAGTTGTAAAATGACTAAAAAGGGCATGAACTTTATTAAATAGTAGTTTTTGAAATTTTATGTTTTTAATGTGATAATAGGTTAAAAAAACATATAAAATTATTATGATAAAATATAAATAGTTTAATTGTGAAATTATGAAATAAAATATTTGTGCCGGAAAAAAAAAAAAATACATTGGAAATAATTAATTAAATATACATAATGGACAAACATGAATATAAATTAAAATTCATTTAGTCTGTAATTAAAGTAAATGAAATAACATAACTAATTAGATAGTAAACTTTGCACAATTTGGTCTCTAATTGAGTCACGAACACGATTCATTTGTGCAGCAGATGTTAAACTTGACGAGGATGCCTCACCACCTGCATGATTATTGTCTTCATCTATTACACTTCCATGTTCAGCTTCTATAAAGTGATCATCAATTGGAGAATTTTGCCTGATAAAATTATGGACAGCCATTGTTGCACAAACTATGCAGACCTGTGTTTGAAACTTGAATCTGGGCATATTTCTTAAGATTGCAAACCTATTCTTCCACACCCCAAAAGTTCTTTCAATAGTGGATCTCAAACTTGAATGATAATAATTGAAAGCCTCATTCTGATTTGTAAATCTTGGGTGACGATTAAAGTCTGGAAGGTGATAGCGCTCACGTCTGTACGGGCCAAGGTATCCCACTTGTGATGGATAACTAGCATCAACTAAATCATATTTTCCTAAAAAATCATGACAAAATTATATTGAGGTGAAAATAATACAAATGAAGCTGAATTTAAAAATAATTAATTTGGAAATCAAAGAAATATACCTTCAGGTGGATGAGGAAAATTCAGGGATGGAGTTGAGATAGCAGAATGAAAGACACGAGCATCATGTGCACTACCTTCCCAGCCCGCCAACACGAACGTGAAACACATATTCCAATCACATACGGCTATGACATTTTGACTAGGAAATCCCTTCCTATTGATATATTTGTCTTGCCTAGCTTGACTAACCTTACATTTTATGTGGGTACCATCAATTGCTCCAATTGCATCTCTAAAAAATGGGAAGTATCGTGGATCATTTGCTATTTTTGGGTGACAATAGGAAAATGTAGGATCAGTTGGCCTGATATTTTCTCGAGATAAATTGAGGCAAGCAGCTAACACTCGATGAACATGCCGACTGACAGTTTCTCCTGAACGCTGAAACCTTTCCTGAATCATCCTATTACATTGGCCATGCGCAATTATATTCAAGAACATGGCAACAGATTCATGGACACCTATGTACTTAGTATTTTGTAACCCATGTTCAACCAATTTAGAACATAACCGATGGAATGTCTATGTTTCCATTCGAAACATATCCTTAGACCGTCCTTCATGCCCGTCTAAAAGTTCTTGAACCCACAAATAACCAGTTTGTTCACTAGTTCTACATGGTTGTTTGCACAGAAAAGGTGTCACATACTGACCCATTAACACACTTAGCTCTGATAATTGTGTTGTGTGTTCATGTAAAGCGAGAAGTAATTGAGACCATTCATCTCCCCCATCATCCTCCCAACCCTCGCCCCAACCCTCCGTTGAATCAGACATAATAGATGTGTGTTACCTGTGAATAGATAAATACTAAATATAAGTAAAATTTTCACAAAAAAGAAAAGAAAAGATAATACACAAATTGTCATTAAACTTTAACATAATAATTAAACATAGTCATGAAACACACATTAAACTTAGTCATTAAACATAGTCACGAAACACAAAACATTAAACCTAGTAATTAGATACATCGTCATAACACATAACACATAACACATAATAGTACATTAAGGTAGAAAAACAGAAGTCATAACAAGTTTGCTGGCACAACTCAAGGATTCTTGGGTGCAGCATATGGCGGTGGATTTGCAGCATTGTGCTTCAACCAAGCCACTAATACCTCCTGATTTTCTCTCAGACCAGCATATATGTCCCTGAAAGTCTTGTTTGCCAGCAGATTACAACACATGACACAAAGATGAGTGTCACTAACAATTTCCTTCATACTCAGCAGATCAGTGGTTAGCTCGATAGTGTTATCACTGTTGGCCAATTTGTTTACTGCCGCTGTTGTACTAATTGAAGCCTTCTCAATTGAGCTTACTGAATCTGCTATTCTTTTTGTTGCTGGCATTTTTTGTTTCTTGTACTTATCCAACCCTCCACCTCTCTTCCTCTTCCCTTGGCTCCCTGAACCAATAGGTATACTGGGTGTAGTGTTTGATGTGTTTGCAGTTAAATTGATGCCGTCCAAATCGTTCGAAACTCCTGCAGGGCGTTCAGTGTCAACACCTAAAAGGCCATCTTCACTGTCCCCTGAACCTTCTTCCCAATCCATTGTTGGTCAGTAATCATTTGACTGCTCAGTCCTCTGTGGCTCAGGCTGTGGCTCAGGCTGTGGCTCAGGTTGGGTTGAAGAAGGTGACCACATATCTTGTCCTGATGCCATAGTGCCCCTAAATAGAGTTTCTAATTCTGTCCGAAATTTTAACCCATGCTGCCTAAAATTTTCGTATGCTGGATTTTCCTGCAAAGCCAAAAGTAAACAAAGGTTAAATTATTTTCAGAAGTCACTAACTGCTTAAAAATTAACAGAAGTAAGTTCATACCCGCTTCTTTCTCTCCCACCACTCATCAGGTGCCACCACTGTGTTCCTTTCAGGGTCCCACCCTATGCTAGTCTCCTTACCAATTAGCTGCTCAAATAGCTTCCACTCTTTCCTCAGGTTATCCAATCTATTTTTCAGTTGTTTCTTCTCATATCCTCTCCCTGTCTTTTCATTGAATGTTTTGTGAATGTTGTCCCAGCCTGGCTTTGTAAACGAGGATCCTTGACGATGTTTGTTATAAATTTGGGCCATGCATATTTTGAGAAAAACACCAGTAGTGCTTACATCCTAATACGCTTTGCCTTTATCGTTACTCATTGTTCTTGATGAAATTACATATGTATCAAATTCACAATAGATTTAGAATCAAGCAGTAAACACACGAATAAACCCACAATTAACAGTGTCTGCTTAAACTTTTTATTTAAAAACAATCAATCAGTACATTTTTAAACTAATAATGTTCATATGTGTTATCCACTTTATACGCCATAGGACAACCCAACCACATCCCTCTTCACTAAGAGCACAAAATTCTAAATGAATTCTCTGAATAATAACTCCCACGTATTCTTAGAAAGATTATCAGGCAGATTTATCAGATACTACCAGCAAATTTATCAGATACTACCAAGACACAAAAATCAGCAAATTTATCAAATACTACCAGGACACAAAAATCAGCAAATTATCAGATACTACCAGCAAATTTATCAGATACTACCAAGACACAAAAATTAGCAAATTTATCAGATACTACAAGCAAATTTATCAGATACTACCAAGACACAAAAATTAGCAAATTATCAGATACTATCAGGACACAAAAATCAGCAAATTTATCAGATAATACTAGAGAATTAAAACCACAAACCAGGAGCAGATGAGTTCGAAGTACAATGAAGCAAAATGGTTGATCTCAACAGATATATACGTATATATGCATCACACATCGGCGACCTTACCTAAGACTTGAAGCTGTGAGTTTGAAACAGGCCCAAGCAGAAGAGATCACGGAGGGAGAAGCACCGACACAGGGTAAATCAAGTGAAGCAGAACAAAGCTGACGACTTGCTTCTCGGCAGCCATGGTCAATCGAGTAGAGCGAAAATCAAATGAAGCAGAGATCGGTCGAACAAGTAGAAGGGCCGAGCTCAGTCGAACAACCGCAGGGGCGAGCTCGGTTGAACAACCGCAGGGGCGAGCTCGATCGAACAACCGCAGGGGCGAGCTCGGTCAAACGCACCGAGGATGCAACAAATAGAAGGGGCGAGCTCAGTTGAACAACCAGAGGACCACACTGATCTGTAACAAATACTCCGGCTAATCTCTGGCACAACCCACGGTGAACGAAGTGGCAAGCTCGGTCGAACAACTGGAGGACCACCTGAAATGGAAGAACAAAATGGGAGAGCGTAAGGGAGAAGAGCAGAGAACAACACTCCACGATGTGGGAGAAAATGGAGAGAGTGAAGGAAGGAGAAGCACCAGCGACAGTCACGGATGGAGAAGCACCAGAGAGAAGGAGGGAGGGATAGCTGTCGGTGACAGTGAAGAAGGAGGGAGGGAGACCTGTCGGTGACGGTGGAGAAGCTCTACGGAGGGAGTGACTAGCGAATGGATTCGGGGGGAGGGAAAATGTAGGGAGGGTTACAACTGGTACGTGATATTTTTATGAGCTAATAATGACCCATAACGGTAAACTTCAGTTTCAGACGCTCCAGAAGTAGCTCTCCTCAGCGTTGCCAACGTTCATCGTTTGCCACAGAAGTCGGTTGGATAAGATATTCCAGCCAAACAACCATTTTTCTTCATTTCAGTTGCAAACGTTGGTTTCACAATTTCCTAGGCTCTTTCAGTGTTTGAAACGGCAATCCAAACGTAGCCTATATATATGTTGAATAAGTCTCGAAGTTGACAGCGTATCGAGCATGCACGTTTCCTTATTCATTCAGGGACCTTGCGTCAATTAATTACATGATCATTAGCATGTGAGGCTAAATTAAAATACCAATTTCTCTTGGGAGGTTCATGTATTCGAAATTGGAAGTTAGCCGAGTAATTCTCATAAAATTAAAATATTTGTTATGATGGGGCCTTTTGGACCCCCACACGTTTTCCTGCTCACACACTATTCATTAAATAACAGTAATAAATTCAAAAAAAATTAGACGCCGTGTACTGGTAGAAGATCAGCATTAATGGCTCGAATTTTCAAAGAATAAGTAAACTTTCACGAAAAGTATTGAAAATAAGAATAACAATTAGAGGCAAGTTGGATGGCTTCTAGTGGTGGAACTCCGCATTATGCTTCAGTTGACTGGTGACGACATGTTGTTTTATTAAATGGCATGTTGTCTTGACGCGATGGCACAAGGTACTTTAATTTGTTTCTACTTTCATTAATATATAAATTTACCAAAAGTTTTTATTTAGGAGCACTGGTATTCAAAAAAAAAATTTTTTGGATTTAATATTGTTCTGAAAGTTTAAAATTATAGGCCTTGCGATTTTAAATTTCCAGTGCAATATTAAAAAAGTTTTAGATACTCAATATTTTTTTTAATAAACATTTTTAGAACAAATTTGTACCTTAACATCACTACTAGAAAAAAGGCTTTTCACGGCGGTTAATAGTGGCTTTTCACGGCAGTTTTGAAGGCGAAGTTGATAAAAACGACGTTGAATGGTAAAGAAAACACGGTGGTTAAATAAAAAACCGCCGTGGAAACTCAATTTTCCACGACGGCTAAACAAAAAATTGCCGTTGAAATTTAACTTTCAACGGCGGTTTTTGGTCTTAACTGCCATTAAAAATATTTTTTTAAAAAAATTCTGCTGGATTTTCATTTTTACCACTTTGCAATTTACAGTTCCAGATAAATGTAGGCAGTGCAGAATACGCAGAACAAAATCAATTAGCTAGTTAATAAATATACAGCATTGAAATTTCTTTTACATAATGCGAAAATAGGGAAACCGGCCAGTAGAACTAAGGGGTTAAGACCAAAGAACACGTATTGGCTAGGACCAACGTAACAATTCTGAAATAGAAGTAACTACTTCTCTGTATAATAGAAATCATGAACATGTACATATAAGAGGGAACCGAGAGAAAACATCTAACAATGAATTTTTTGAGAAATGACCTAACTATTTGAAAGCTAAATTTCAATAGTTTGTACCAATGTTGTTGACAAAGTGTCCCTCATCAAGTTGATGTCATCCATGAGATGTGGCGCAATATTTTGAAATATCTGTTAATCAAAAATAACATAGTAAACTTAGTCAAAAATGTGAAAGGAATTGAAAAACATCATGTAACGTAACTCATCTTTACCTCGTCTAATTTCTCAGTCATTCCTGTCTCAATTATGTCATTCATGTAGCGGATGACATAATATCCACATTCAACATGTCCTTGTTGACAACGGTACTAAAAAAATAAGATATAAAATTGAATATTAGACATTATTGATTATAAACATTAACTTTAATTCATCCAAAAATGTTTAAAAGTTAGTTCAAAACAACATATACCTTTGGAAGAATCCATGTTGGTGCTTGTCTATTTTGTTTAATCGCCACAACATTAAAAGTATGAAAAGCCCTATCAATAATATAAGAGAAAATGATATTAGAGCATGTTTTTATAAACTTCACAAGTAATAAATATATAAATATAAACTAACGTGTCAATGACATCTTTGGTTTCTTCGGATGGACTTCCACAGAGTGAATCGAACCAGTAAACTTTGTTGTTAAAAGGGGCACAAACAATTAGAGTCCAATGATAACTGCAAAAGACAAACCATGCTAATTATAACCCGATTCATACAACTTGTATATCTCAAATACAATAATACACTTACCCTTCCATGTAAGGTGCAAAATATATTGGCTTTCTAGTCAGAGTCATTATGGTCATAATGTAGATTGACCTTGCTTCCACAGTATTAAATTCTTTCTGCACCCTTTGAGGACACATAAAGCCATATGTTCCTTCAAGTCCTCCATTTCGACAGATTTGATTAAAGTGCCTGTTGTTCAAGTAAAAAACATTAGGACATGTATGAAGTATAATATGTAATAAGAAAATGATATTGTAACTTACAAAATAGCGAGCTGCATGAAGACTATATCAAGCTCCTCAAAGTTAAGGAACTGAATGAGGTCCCTCTTGTCAATGGTGAAGTCGTATGTTATATCTGAACCCACAATTCCCAACGGCATCTTGAAAGTCACAGGCTTATCCATGTTTGGCACCATGGAATGAAGAACCTCCAAACTGGAATACATAAGCGCAATATCACCAGGAAGAGGCAAGAGTACAGGATCTGATGATGCGCTCGTTGTGGCCTTCTTCGCTGCCGCCTTCTTCACCAATGGCTTTGCAATAAGTCTCTTTGGCCACAAAATGAAATGTCCTTTAGCTTGGGCCAAGAGTCGAACCTCATCAATAGGATTGGGCACTGGTGTACCCCCCTGACCACGAACAATTCTCTCTACTGTCACCCTTGCTTGATTGCTCGGAATTTTGTTGCCGTGAATCGTTGTGCCCATGAATGCTCGACCACTAGCAACATGAACAGGTGAATTTTCATAATCCACATAGAGAGAACACGACATCCTATTGTCTTCGACAGGGTTAGGGCTAGGGTCAGGGTCAGACACTGTCAGTTGCTGCGTCTGATTATTACTGCCCTTTCCGCTTTTTATCACAGGTGAACCCTGAAACATAATATGAAATTAGTTAAGGAACATTAAATAAGTTTAAATGGATCAAATGAATCTTTAGAAGATTTAAAAAGATGTGTGATTATTACCTGGGAAGGTTCAGATACTCAGGGCATCTGGAATCCGCTCATACCCATCATCATCAAAGTCTGTTGAAACTTGGCATCGAATTCGTCACGTATCTTTTGCATCTCTGCCATGTGTTGTTGACTTAGTTCAACTCGAACTCTCTCTGTTTCTTCCTGTAGTCGTTGGTCGAGCTTCTCTTTAGATACCATGTTAGCGGAGGATGATTTAGTGCTTTTTCGTGAAGCAGAGCCAAAAAATTCTTTAATACCAATCCCTTTAGGAGTCCCTTGACTCTTTCGGGATGGTCATCTTTTCCAATAGCAGTGGCCAAGATATCCATCTGTCCTTGAGGGATGAATGTACCTTGAGATAATTGCTTCTCAAGTGTATCATGTATCATTAAAGCAACAAATTCAATTTAAGATAATTGAAAAAAACAATTAATG